ATTTGCACCTGTTGCAAGGCTTGAAATAGTGCGAGTCTTGATTGCTATAGCAGAGCAGGAGAGTTGGGAGATTCATCATATGGATGTCAAGTCAGCGTTTCTTAATGGTGAGTTGAAGGAAGAGGTTTATGCTGTGGAAGGTCGAGAAGGGAATGTTTTACGACTTCGGAAAGCATTGTATGGCTTACGTCAAGCACCTCGTGCCTGGAATGCAAAACTGGATAATTGCTTAAAGTCTCTTGGATTTCAAAAATGTCCTTTAGAGCATGCTGTGTATACACGTTGGATAGAAAATAAAATTTAGATAGTTGGAGTTTATGTTGATGATTTAATTATTGTTGGGTCAAGCAAGGATGATATTTTGAGCTTCAACCAACAAATGAAGAAGTTGCTTGAAATGAGTGATTTAGGTTTCCTGTCTTATTATTTGGGAATAGAAGTTAAACAAGATGTTGATGGAATCAGATAATCTCAGTCGAGTTATGTGGCAAAGCTTTTGGCAAAACTTGGAATGATGGATTGTAATCCGTGTCATGCTTTCCTATGGAGCCGAAAATAAAGTTAAGCAAAGCGAGTAATTTTCCATCTGTTGATTCCACTCCTTAGAAGATTATTATCGGAAGTCTTCGTTAATTAGTGAACACACGACCTGACGTATCATATTTCGTTGGAGTTATGAGTCGTTATATGGAAGCTCCGACTATGGTTCATATGAAAGCTGTGAAGCAAATACTCAAGTACGTGAAAGGAACCATTGATATTGGATGTCATTATGTGAAGGCAAAGCAAGTAGAGAATCGATTAATCGGATATAGTGATAGTGATCTTGCTGGAGATATAGATGATCGAAAGAGCACAACGGGGACATTGTTTTTCTTATATGGCAATCCAATAACATGGACTTCAAAGAAACAAAAGATGGTGACACTTTCATCCTATGAAGCGGAGTATATTGCGGCGACGTCAGCTGCTTGTCAAGGAATGTGGTTATGACGTTTACTGAAGGAATTGCATGGGAAGGAAGTAAATCCAGCTCGTTTAAATATCGATAACAAGTCTGCTATAGCATTAGCGAAAAAACCAGTTCATCATGATCGCAGCAAACATATAGACACGAGGTTCCAATTCATTCGTGAATGTGTGCAAAAAGGAGAGATTGAAGTGGATCATGTAAAAACTGAGGATTAATTGGCTTATATACTTACGAAGCCAATAGGACGACAAAAATTTGTGGAGCTTCGAGAAAGAATTGGTTTGAAGAATGTAAGAATGTGAAGATCGAAATACAAGATTAAGGGGATGATTGGTTAGTTTATTTAATCTTGTATTAACCGTAATTCATTTGTATTTGTCGTTTATATTTTAAATTATGTCAGTTTTAGTATTTGTGGATAAGATCCAGGGAAGTTACTTGCAGTTATTAATGTGTGGCTAAGATGGTAAGAAGCTAGTTTTTCTCTCTGTCTATATATATACTGTGTAACAAGTTGAATAAAATAAGTAAGTTGATTTTGTTTATTTTCTAAGTATTGTCTCTCTTAGAGAAAAACGTTATTGTGCAAAAATCACTTCCTCGTATGTGTGTTTTCTGTCAGGATCTTCGTAATTTTTGTTCATGCACCACTAATGAACTTTGTAATTCATCAATGGACATGTTATCAGTATCTTTGGATTCCTCCATGGGTACTACAACATAATTAAATTTTTCAGTCAGGGTACGCAGAACTTTTTCTACAATTTTCTCGTCTGGTATATCTTCTCCATTGCTTCTCATCTTGTTGGAGGCTATCATCACTCTTGCAAAATAATCTTTGATGCTTTTATCATTCTTCATCTCTAGGATCTCAAATTCTCTCCTTAATGCATTAAGAAGAGATTTCTTCACTTTTTGGTTTCCACAAAATTTTCGTTTCATTGAGTCCCAAACAATCTTTGGCTGTGCGACGATCCAAGATTTGCTCACAGAAAGTTCGATAAATTGCCTGGAAGAGGTAACGCTTTACTTGGTGATCTTTGAGTCTAGCATCATCAAGGTGGCCCTTTTGTGCCTCAGTCAACTTTGTTCCTTCCTCTTGACCTGAGAAACCAATCTCCACCACACTCCATAGACCTTTTGCGCTGAGCAAATACTCCATCACTAAAATGATCAAAGTGACCATCGAAGTGAGGGATCTTCGTTTAAACTTTGTCTTCACTCATACTCTCTCTATTTGATCACTAAAAAATTGCGGCTCTGATACCAATTGCTAGGTTTTGACACAACTAAGCTAGAAACATAAACAATTGAAGCTTGAAGTGATAATATTATTGAATATTGAACTTGGCTTTTGTAGTCTTACAAATAAACCTAAATAGAAACTAACCACAAATCTTGGAAACAAAAATCTTGTAAACAAATCAAATATTTAAACTAACCCCATAATCAAATTCTTCTAACATGAAGTGGTATGAAGGTTGTGTTTATAGGGAGTAGAAAGAGAGGGGCGAAGGGTTGTTTTAAGAGTATTGTTTGGTATTTAGTTTAATTATTTGTCATATAGTTATTATTTCTATTATTATTTGTAAAGTTGTAAAAGCCAGGTTGAGTATTCAATAATATCATAACTTGACACTACGATTGTTTAGGTTTGCCTGAGTTATTACTAAGTCAAAATCTAACGCTTAACTTGGATTTCATCTAATTTTTCTTAATAATCATTTAAAACTCATCGTTCTTCCTTTCAAACGGTGGCATACTCGTTGTGGCTAGTGCTTCGTGCGGAATCCTAATGTCGCATCGTTCAAATACTCAAAAGCCACGATGATGATTTACTACCACGGCGAGGTGATCGGAGAGGGGGAGACGCCGGCGGATTGACGAAGGCAAAGGACACGATGACGATGAATGTGACGGTGGAGATCGAGGCGGAGGAAATGGATGAGGGTCTGAGTTTGATGGAGGATTTGAAGTTGTGAGGTTTGAATATTAGTAGCCACACGGAAATTCCAGGAAGGGTCAAAATAATTGGATTCATCAAGAAAAGGTTTGAGGTTAAAATGAACTGTTCATCTACTTTCAATACTAAAACCCAAATGACTCTAAGGGAAGATTGTGATAAGCATGTAAAAATTTTCGATTAACGAAGAATTATGGGAGGAATTTGAAACCAAATGGCTACTAAGTTTGTAGTGTTTAATTATGAGGAGTATTAAAATTTTTAATTATGGTACGTAGGTTGTTTATACATTTTTTGGATTATATCACATTTTACTTTGCTTATGTAACTATATTTGTACGTTGGATCAATAGTGAATTTATTTTACCATGAGTGTGACTCCCAAACCTTTGTAATAACTCGTGTCTAGGATTTGACATGGTCAGGTTACCTACTCTTTGTTTCTAAGAGTGAAAGCTATTCTCGCGAACTAACTCGAGTTCTTCCTACATGTTTTTTCCCTATTCACATGCATCCTAGAAAAATTCTCCACAGGTTACGTGCATCATAGAATTGCTCCAAGCAAAACATACCTAACCATGAAGTTCTTATAATTGAGCTATTGAAAAGGAAAAAGAACCTTATTGGTATATGGAGTGACTATCCATGTTCTAAAGTATTTCTTGGCTATCATATCCTTAGGATACCTCTCGTTTGGAAGTGGTTTCGGTTCATTTATGTACCCCTCATTTGCTCGGGTGTCACATACCTACCAACTTTCACATTAGTTCGTTTTCAAACCACGTCTTACTGGGAGAGATATTGCCCTAATACAATTTGTAACGTCTCATGTCCAAGATTCAGAGCCATTAGGTATCAAATCTGCATTACAAATCTTGATCTATCCAAGACATGACGCGTTACAATTTTGGTCGACCCTAAAAGCTTGATCAAACATTTTAGAATGATCCATTAATCCAAAACCAGTTCGGTGTAATGGCTCGTCCCTTCAAAAGTTGGCCTGAGTTTAACGACGTGACTTTTTAACCCGCCATCATGAAAAAAGAAAGAATTTGTTTGAAAAAAGAAGGCCAGATGGCCAATTTATTTTTTATTAGTGGGGACATTAAATTATAGACCTCATTTTTTTCTCCTTGCACACAATCAAATTCAAAAGGTGACATTTTCCAAGCGTGGGCATAGAGGCTCATAATACAAGTTCTTACCAAACTACACATCAAATAGCTAAACTACACGTCGAATTGTTTACGGTCAAAAAGACAAAGCAATCTGAATTTATTTATTGCATGCTTTGGACCTTCTAAATATGCGACATCAAAATTTAATGTTTAGAATATTCAACTTTCTCTCCTAGAATACACATATATATATATATATAAATTAATCAATGCATAGTATTTTATGAAAAGTGTATAAATAAAATATTTTCAATAATTTGATTACATTTTTTAAAATTAGATAATTAAGATGTTAACTATTTCATTTTTATTAATTTAGATTATTAAAATAATTTTATGTATTTGTGAATTATTAGGTCGAAAAATGTCCCCAACTCAAAAAATGTAGTAGGGGTATTATATAAGAACTTGTCATAATCGTAGTTAGCTACTATTTTAATTTTTAATTTGAGACTGGAACAAGCTTCGAGTTTTATTTAAGAAAAGGGGTCATAATGTTAAAATATTGGTTCTCTGGGCAAGATATGTATGAACGTTGCTAGCTTTGTTAGAAATATTTGCTTATTACTCAACAAATTATCAAAGTTAGAAACACAATTTATTAACAAAGCAACTGAATTAAGAAAAATGGAAGGAGTTTCACGGTTACATCGATCTTTGATCTTTTGAACAAATTTCAACCTATTAATGAGATATATAAGCAACCTTTGGGCTATGTTTCTCTCACCCCGATTCATAAAAGAGAAGAAAAAATGGGAAGAACTTTTCAAGTTGTTCTTTTTCTAGCATTGTTGTGTTTTTATCTCCTTCTGTTTATTCTTTACCGTTGTCAACAAAAGGAAGGTGGATCGTTGACTCGACAACAGGGCTTCGAGTGAAGCTTGTGTGCGTGAATTGGCCTTCCCACACACAGAGCATGCTAATAGAAGGTCTCAACCACAGGCCATTAAAAGAGCTGGCAGATGAGGCAATCAAGTTGAGGTTTAATTGTGTACGACTCACGTATGCAACTCAAATGTTCACTCGTTATGCAAATAGGACAGTTGAAGAGAATTTTGACCTTCTCGATTTAGAGCAAGCAAAAGCCGGATTGGCTCAATATAATCCTTTTGTGTTGAACAAGACTATTGCTGAAGCCTATGAAGCTGTTGTTGATGTGCTTGGAGAGAGTGGTTTAATGGTGATTGCCGACAACCATATGAGTCAGCCAAGATGGTGTTGCTCTCTTGACGATGGCAATGGATTTTTTGGAGACCGCTATTTTGACCCTCAAGAATGGCTACAAGGTCTTAGCTTAGTTGCTCAACGCTTTTCCAAGAAATCAACGGTACGTACAAATTAAGGAAAATTCTCACACTCTTGAAACTAATTTCAAACATTTAAAGACTTGTACAATTTTTCACTAACAAAAGAACATTCTTTTGTTATGACATTTAGGTGGTTGGAATGAGCCTACGAAACGAGATACGAGGAACCAATGAAAATGCAAATGATTGGAACAATTATGTTACTCAAGGAGTAACAACAATCCACAACATTAACCCAAATGTTTTAGTGATTGTTTCGGGCCTAAATTTTGATAATGATCTTTGATGCTTAAAAGAGAAGCCCTTGAACGTAAGCACCTTAGACAACAAGTTGGTTTTTGAGGTGCACTTGTATTCGTTCAGTGGAGATCAAGAGAGTAAATTTATAAACCAGCCACTAAATAATATTTGTGCAAATATTATCAATGGCTTTGTAGACCATGCTGAATTTGTTAGAGAAGGACCAAACCCATTTCCTTTGTTTGTCAGCGAATATGGGTACGATCAGAGAGAGGTTAACGATGCAGAAAATCGGTTCATGAGTTGCTTCACAGCTCATCTTGCACAAGAAGATTTAGATTGGGCATTATGGACTTGGCAAGGTAGCTATTATTATAGGGAAGGTCAAGCAGGGCCGGCAGAAACTTTTGGAGTTCTCGACTCCAATTGGACTCAAATTAAAAATCCTAACTTTGTCCAGAAGTTTCAACTATTGCAGACTATGTTGCAAGGTAAGTATAAATATATTAACGATTTTGAATATATGGATCTATAACAAGTGTATATGACATTTTTTTATATGCACATATCCAAATTCCAATGCATCGTTCTCGTATGTTATATATCATCCACAAAGTGGCCAATGCATCCAAGTCTCAAATGACAACAAAGATATTTTCATGGGTAACTGCTCCATCTCAAGTCGATGGACTCATGACAATGATAGCACTCCAATTAGGATGTTAAGCACTGGTTTATGCTTAAAGACGAGCGGAGAAGGCCTTATGCCATCTCTCTCAATAGATTGCTTCGGCCCTCAGAGTTCTTGGACAGCCATTTCAAACACTAAGCTTCATTTGGCCACTGTAACTCAAGATGGGAAGAGTCTTTGCTTGCAGGTTGAAAGCTCTAATTCTTCAAAAATTGTGACAAACTCATGTATTTGCACTGACGGTGCTCCAAATTGCCTCCAAGACACCCAAAGTCAATGGTTTGAACTTGTTGAAACCAACACATTGTGAGTTGCTTATGTATAGGGAAGAATAAATATATGACATGCCCGACTTTGAATTGGCCCCTATTTTATCTCTAGTTCTATTCATGCTCGTGCTTAATTATAACCGATTTTATTTATCGTACAAACATATATGAAAAATAATACCGACAATAATGATCGTATAAAAGATTGGACATATAATAAATAATAGAAATAATTATTGACCATTTATCTACCAATTTAAGCATAAAATCGACAACCCTAATATGACTCCCGCACTTTCAAAACTCTCATGCCAACCCTAAATTCAAATTCCAACAACTACTAGTATATTGGACCAAATTCTAAATTTCTATTTTAAACTAATTAATAGACTAAGCAACATTTGTTGGAACAAGTTTGAACCATTGGGGTTGAGGATCATCCGTGCAACTTCCCTCGTCTTTAAAGGAAATGCATTTCTTCACAACAACTAGTAGTATCAGATTCCTTCTCCAAACAAAAATTGTCTTCGCCAATTTTGTTGGCCAATTGGAGATTTGCTTTCGAAGCCACCGTCCAACTGCTTCCATCGCCAGAGCATTCGTCGGATACCACCAGTACTTTTCCATCTCCAACAGATTTCAAACCCTGACCGTTTGACAACAACTTCATCGGGACTTCCATCTCCAATATGGTTCCATTGGTTCGGAGTGGCACAATCGCCGAGTTCAACTCCTCCTTTGTCCTCGGATTTGACACATTGCCCTGATACGGGATGCAGCATTATGTATGATATTGGTGCTTTAGAATTTGGATCCGCAAGAAAAGAGCTTTAGTTTCAAATTCTAACTAAAGAAATATATAGAGGTTTTATTTGTTATAATGCACGGTTAGATTGAGAAGCAACAAATTAACCTTGATTCACTCTGTTGATAAGTGGAAGCATTTGTTTAAGTGATGGGGGTACTATCTCTAGTCTTAGAGTGATCCATAACACCAAAACTTTCATTAGGATCTTCGTGACACCGTCTGTACATATAACTTCCTTGGAACGCCCACAAGCTCCAATCAATATCCTTCCCGGCAATTCGAGCCAAAAAGCAGCTCATGAACCTCGTTGCCCCCCGAACAAAGAAAAATAGATGAAAGAAATTAGAGAGAGTGAGTTTGCCATTGTGGGAAGGTAGAAGTGACAAGTACTGGTTTTGACATAACAAAGCCAAAAACATAAACAATTGAAGTTTGAGGTGATAATATTATTGAACAGTGAACTTGGCTTTTATAGCCTTACAAATAACCCTACATAGAAACGTTTCAATCCACAAATCTTGGAAATGGAAACAAATCTGGTAAACAAATCTGAGAAATATTTAAACTAAATTTCTTAAAAGACTGTAACTCTTTTTCATCTAATCAAATTCTTCTGACCATTTCTCCCGTGAACTTATTCTTCTTTGTCAAGAATTAGTTCAACTCAGAAAAATCTGCACGCTAAGTTCTTCACGCAACTTCCGAAATGCTTTCTTATGTGTTTGGAACATCCGTTTAGAACTGGATTTTTGGATAACTTAATAGTTGAAGTATTACACACATTAGCTTTGTTCCTTCTATTTGAGAGTGACAAATCTCTTTGAGTATCCTCCTCATCCAAACAGCTTGACATGCATAGGAACTAGCAGCAACGAACTCAGCTTCTGTGGTTCATAAGGTGACTATAGGCTGCTTACAAGAAGACCAAGCTACTGCTCCTCCACTAATCACAAGCACATGGCCTGAAGTACTCTTGCTTTCTTCCATGTCTCCGGCACAGTCACTACCAGTCAATCCAGTCAAATCACCGACTCCTCCTTTTTTATACATGCCATAAATCACCGACTCCTCCTTTTTTATACCTGCTGCAAAATGTTGTTGTGTTGGACATGCCATAAAACGACTAATCAAACTTACAGCAAGCATGAGATCAAGACGAATAGTTGTGAGATACATCAGACTTCCCACTATTTGTTTATACAAAGTTACATATACTGTTGCACCATTTTCATCTTTGCCAATTTTCTTTCCTGGAACAGTGGGATACAAACAGAATTGTAATTCTCTATGCCATGTCGGTTTAAAACTTCAACAGCATACTTTCTTTGACATGTGAAAATAGCATCTAATCTTTGTATTACCTCTATTCCAAGAAAAAATCTCATCTGACCTAAGTCAGTCATATCAAACTCTTTCTTCAAGGAACGTTTAAACTCGTCCAATAGTTCTTCATCTGCTCTCCAGTAAATAAAAAATCATCAACATAAATGCTTACGATAAGAATTTTACCTCCCTTCCTCTTGATGAAGAGTGTTTGCTCACTGGAACTCATTTTGAATCCTTGTTTTAATCCGTAGAGAGCCTTTTAGAGTTTGTACACCATCTTCTCACTTCCCTTTTTCTCATAGCCTTCACCGAAATCTGCTAACCATACAGGTGGATGTCGATTTCTCCCCTCCCTTACTGTCAAATCTGGTGCGACGGTCACTGGAAAAATTATTTTCAGCAACTGGATCAATTGTTTCAGCAGCCGATTCAGTCGTTTCTTCCGTGATTTTTCTTTCTCCGTTTTCAGCAACTGGTTCAATTGTTTCAGCAACCGGTTCAGTCGTTTCCTCTGTTATTCCTCCTCCTTCGGCTGTGTTCTTATCAATTTCAATGTTTTCCCCCAGTCTAATTTTTCCATTGCTCTCCATTTACCCATTTTTTGAAATGGAGTCTGATGTTGCTTGCCTTTCATACATGCCTCACAGGTGGTGTTTGGAGCCCCAATTTGCGGCAGGCCTTTCACCATGTTTTTGTGTTTCAAGGTCCACAAGCCTTTGTAGCCGAGATGACCATATCGATGGTGCCGAAGTGTTGACTGGTCCGTATTTGAAACTTGGAGGCATCTTCCTTCATTTGTTGTGGTAGATGGTTCAGTACCCAAAATAAACTGCCGATTTGTGATCATAATTGACTCTGCTATTTTTCCTTTTTGTGGATGATAAATGCTACATACACCATCTTCAAACAGCACTGCTACTCCTTTTTCTTGTAGTTGTCCAACGCTCAAGAGATTATTTTTTAGTTCAGGTACCCAATACACATTACTAATAGTGCAACGAACCCCATGCAAAGTTAATTTCACTACACCCTTTCCCATAACTTTCCTACCTGTATTATTTCCAAGTTTTTCAATGTGGGAAAATGTCTTGTTTAAGCTTGAAAACATACCTTCACTTGCACACATATGGTTTGAGCAACCCGAATCTAAGAACCAAGCATCACTCCTTTTTGCTTCATGTCTTTCCATATGAGCCATTAACAGTATTTCATCCTCTTCTTCCAGCTCTACATAATTCAATTCCTTATTCATCTTTGAACATTCATATTGAAAATGACTTAAGTCATGACACCTATAACATTCAACCGTTGCTTTGTTGAAAGTTGATCTTCCTCTTCCGCGTCCTCTGCCCCTGTAAGTTCCTCTTCCTCCATTACTTATTTTCGTTCGTCCTTCGACTTTCAGAACTTGCTCCTCTCCATTAATGTGGGATCTGTTAGTTTATTTAATCTTGTATTAACCGTAATTCATTCGTATTTGCTGTTTGTATTTTAAATTATGTCAGTTTTAGTATTTGTGGATAAGATCAAGGGAAGTTATTAGCAGTTATTAATGTGTGGCTAAGATTATAAGAAGATAGTTTTTCTTTCAGTCTATATATGTACTGTGTAACAAGTTGAATAAAATAAGTAAGTCGGTTTTGTTTATTTTATAAGTATTGTCTCTCTTAGAGAATAACGTTATTGTGTAAAAATCACTTCCTCGTATATGTGTTTTCTATCATTTGGTATCAGAGCATTGGTTAGATGTCAAAGGTCATGCCGAGAAATAATAACAACACTGGAGAGCGAGGAGAGCCGTCGAAGTCCGCAACAAAGGTGTTGGTGTTAATATAACACATGCGGAAGCAATTTGGATCTTAGGTACTTTTAGAACATCAATTATTGTCAATTACTAGCATGTTCATAAGTATTAAAACTTAATGAGTTTAAATACTAACCTTTCGTAGTTCAAACTTCTTTTGCCTCACGAACCGGTTTCGAACCACCACTAGTGTCTTCTCCACTATCCTCCGGCCTTAGAACGGGATTGTTAAATCCAGTGAGTGACTAAACTTGGGAGGGATTTAGTATATGTGAAAGAGAGTGTTTGTGAGAAGTTTTTCTCAAGGTTTTTCATCAAGATGAAGAATCCCCTCCAAGTATCATGATCACTCTATTTAAAGAGTCAAGTTTGCATGTTCATGCAAACTTGAGATCACCAAATTTTGACACTTAAAATTCCACTCAAATGTTTGGGATTATGTGGCAAGCATGCATGTTTGAGTTAACCAAATTTTGACACTCAAAATTCCACTCAAACTTGTGGGGTTTATTTGGCAAACATGCAAGTTTGGTTAAACCAAATTTTGACACCTCAAAATTCCACTAACATGGATTTTTCGATTAGATGAAAGTCAACATTTTGACTTTCTTCATTTTAATTCAACAATTAATTTGAATAATGAATTTCAAATTAAAGTAACATTAAATGATTAATTAAACTATTTAATTAATATTTAATATTAATTCAAATGCCAATCCCAATCAATTCCGACACATAATTGATTAAGATATTTAAATCTTATTTAAATATCTCAGATTCTCTCTTTTCGTTTAATTCGTAAATAAAACAAAATTGCGGTTAAATATATCGTATATATGTAACGCATATTCCGAATAAACAGGAGTTCATGGTTAGCTCAGGATTAAAACCGAGTTACCTAGGTTATCGAATGANTAATTCGTAAATAAAACAAAATTGCGGTTAAATATATCGTATATATGTAACGCATATTCCCTAATTTGAATTCGAACACTTCGAACTCACTCGTCACACTGTTCTATGGTTTAGTCCGATATGAGCTACCAGAGGGACCTAATGGACCTATAGATCATGGGCTCCAACGATCCAAGATTAACCGATTAAACTCATTAACCTGGTTAACCAACATTCGTTAACTACTAGGACACTCCACTATAGCCTAGTAGTTGCACTCCCCTCACTATAGATATATTTCTGTCCATCTGATATAACCATGATTAGTAAGTCGATCCTTCACAGGTTGTTCGTAACTAGAGCTGGGTCAATTTACCGTTTTACCCCTGAAGTTACTTCTTGTTCCTTATGTCTCACTGATCCTCTAATGAACAATTGGTTTGTGGTCCAACCAGTAAACCGAATCCCTCTCAGGCCAATGAGAGGGTGGGGCCCCTTGTTCAAGACCTGGAGTCAGTGCTTAAGGGAACTACCTTTCTTCTATCCCTAAAAGTGGGTAGGAGTGAATTCCGTCTTGCACCCCACGTCCCCAGCCATTCACCCAGTCTTACCCCTGAAATGGGAGGCCTGTTGAGTCGGCGAACTAGAGCCACTCTCACCCATGCAAATCTAAGGATAATTCCGAATAAACAGGAGTTCATGGTTAGCTCAGGATTAAAACCGAGTTACCTAGGTTATCGAATGAAAAGAAAATCAGTCTCAACAGTAAACGACTTTATAAAGTGAGAGTGGTTTTCTTCATGGTCCGATCTTATGCAATACTCATTGCATAGGACGCCCCCACTCACATGTCTCCACATGCACAATTTAGTGATCACATTGTTTATATCATATACAAAAGTGGGCCGCATCCATAGTGTCCCCAGAATAAGGTACTCAGCCTTATCCTTATACTATAGATCATTTTGACTATATACTTGAACTTGATCCACTCTTATGTCTCTACATATAGTTCAAGTAATCATACTATAGCCAGAGTGTTCTTAGTTTATTGGATTTAGATTAATGATCGTCAAGTTCACTTTATTCAATAACAATTTTTACTTAATAAACATCAATAATAACTTTATTGAAAATAGAATATATCTTTGTTTACAAACTATGAGTTTTAGGACATAAAACCCAACAAAAGGAAGGTCTGGTATCACTCCAATACCCGACGTTATCGAGAACCAACTAGTCAGCATGGGCTATGAAGATGAAGGTCTATTTGCGTGCCCAAGGGGTGTGGGCACAATCCAATCAACCGAGTCTCTAGATAGTCTTAATGAAAGGAAGGATCAAATGGCCTTAGCAGCTATCTATCAAGCAATCCCTGAGGAGATGTTGTTTTTGTTAGCAGAGTAAGAGACAGCAAAAGAAGCATGGCAGACGTTAAAAACTATTCATGTGGGTGCTGAACGTGTAAAGGAGGCAAAGATTCAAACTCTGAATTTTGAGTTCGAAGTTATGAATATGAAGGAGTCCGAGACTATTGATGATTATGCAGCAAGATTGACAGGAGTTGTTAATAAAATACGTACATTTGGAGACAAGTTTGAAGAGGCATGCTTGGTGAAAAAATTTCTCCATTCAGTACCTTCTAAGTTTCTTCATATCGCATCGGCAATAGAGCAATTTGTCGATTTAAAGGTGATGACCATGGAGGAAGTCATCGGCCGTCTTAAAGCATACGAGGAACGGATCGGTGGCAACAAAGAGAATGCTGAGCATGTCTTATTTACAAAAGGAGAATGGAAAGCAAAAGAACTTAAAGGCAAAGGTGAAATTTCAACGTTCGAGAAAAAACGTAGCGAAAATGGAGGCCATAGCCGAGGGCGAGGTCGCAGTGGTCGCTGGAGAGGGAGAGGTCATGGGCGTGGAAATGACTCATTACATAAGGAGAAGAAGCGTGACAAGAGCAAGGTAAAAGGCTACAATTGTCAAGGCCTAGGCCACTATGCCTCAGAATGTCGGAAGGTGAAATGTTATAATTGTCAAAAGATTGGCCATTATGTATTCCACTGTAGATCGAAAAAAAGGGAGGATCAGGCGCACTTGACTGAGATGCAAGGTGATGAGGATGAGTCAGTCTTACTTACAGCACAAGTTTGTGAAGTCTGAAATCTCGGTTCACTAGAGTTGACGGAGATGGCTCTTTAAGAAGAGAAGGTTGTCCCGGAAGAAATCGAGAAGAAAAACAACACTTGGTTCCTAGATACGGGAGCCAGCAATCATATGACTGGTTGTCGAAGTTGGTTCTCGGAATTGAACGAGTCAGTGACCGGCACGGTGAAGTTCGGAGATGGATCACTTGTAGAGATAAAAAGACGTGGAGATGTGATGCTGCAATGTGCAAATGGAGATCACTGTATCCTTTCCGATGTATAATTCATTCCTAAACTTAAAAGTAACATTATAAGTTTAGGACAATTGGATGAACAGGGCAGTAAAGTTGAGATCGAACATGGTTTACTTGTCATTTTCACAAAGGCAAAGGAGTTCTTGGCAAAAGTGAAGCGGTCAAGAAATAGGCTATATACAATTAGCCTAAAAACAACGTAACCAACATGTCTACTTTGTACGTTGTCTGAAGATTCTTGGTTATGGCACGCTAGATATGGGCATTTGAATTTTGAGGCTTTAAGAAACCTGTCTACGAAACAAATGGTGAAAGGAATTCCGCATGTTGAAAGGATCGAACAAGTTTGTGATATTTGTGTAATCACTAAACAACGAAGAACACCATTACCACAACAAGCGAATTTTCGAGCTGTTAGTGTTCTACAATTGGTGCATGGCGATTTGTGTGGTCCAATTACTGTAGAGTTGACTATCCTTTTATAAACACAAGGTTCGTCAACATTCTGTTTAAAGCCATAAGATTTGATCGCAGTATCAAACTTTATATTCCAGGATCGAGATGCTTGCTTCAACCCATAAATGGATCTTTTAAGCTTGCAAACCCTTTGCTCGTGATCCTGTTCAATGAACCCCTCTGGTTGAGCCATATAGATACTCTCATCAAGATTGCCGTTTAGAAAAGCTGTCTTAACATCCATTTGCCAAATTTCATAATCATAAAATGTGGCAATAGACAAGAGTATTCTTATTGATTTAAGCATAGCAACAGGAGAGAAGGTTTCTTCATAGTCCACCCCTTCTCTTTGGGTATAACCCTTTGCTACTAGTCGTGCTTTAAAGGTCTGTACCTTACCGGTTTGGTCTCGTTTCCTCTTATAGATCCATTTGCAACCAATAGGTTTTACCCCATCCGGTTGATCTACAAGTTCCCAGACTGAATTGAAGTACATTGACTCCATTTCAAGATTCATGGCTTTAATCCACTGATCTCTATCCTCATCATTCATTGCCTGTTTATAGGTCAATGGATCCTCAACGCCATCATCAGGTATGTCGACTTGAGTTTCTGCCAAACCCAAGTAACGATCGGGTTGAGTTATAACCCTCCCACTACGTCGAGGNCTCCAAAAAACAACTTTAAATTTCCCACTGATCTTGCTGAGACAACCTCTCCTGTTCCAACCCTGAGTGTTATCTCGCCGTCCGCAAGCATTCTCCAGGAGCTAGTTTCCTGGTAAAAAGAACAAATAGGATTAGTCGCCCCTGAATCTAGTATCCAAGTTGAGTTGACATACTCTACTAAACACATTTCTACAACGAGTAAATCATATTTACCTTGTTGTGTCTTTTCGGCTTTCTTCTCTGCAAGATATTTTGGGCAATTTCTCTTCCAGTGCCCGTTTTCGTTGCAATGGAAACATTTTCCTTTATCTGCTTTTTGAACCTTGTTCTTGCGGTTAGTAGGAATCTTATTTTTCCCTTTTCCCTTCTTCTTCATCAAAACACTTTTAGAAGTTGAAGGTCCAGACTTATATTTGGAGGACGATCCTCGAGTAATTTCTTGGAGATGGCAACATTTACTTCTCCTGTTTGTCCCTTGTNCCTTTACGCCCTTTCCATAACTCATAAGGTGTTTCTAAAACACTCTTAGTAGGAACCATGTTCAAAATGTATGTAGCAGTCTCCACTGCATATCCCCAAAATGGATCGGGTAATTGAGCGAAACTCATGATAGACCGAACCATGTCTAATAGAGTTCTATTTCTCCTTTCTGATACACTATTTTGTTGAGGCATACCAGGGGCTGAGAGTTGAGACCTTATTCCATGTTCTATCATATAGTCCTGANAATGACAGCTTCATTTTCTTCTGCCACATTGAAATGGACCATCATGTCCAGGACATGTTCTCTAACTGAGGTCCCTTCTTTCATACGGCAGTTGTAAATGTATTTTATGGCTTCATGTCTAAGGGAGAGGGACGGTTGTCCAAACATCCCTTTTAGAGATTCCATAATCTCTTTAGCAGTACCCATAACATCGTGTTTCTTAGCCAAAACATCAGATATGCTGGCTAGAATGTACACTCGGGCTTTGTCATTTGCCTTTATCCATCTGTCATATACATCCCGAGCTGTTTAGTTTGCATTTGAGTTTGGGTTTGGAGGACACTCCTCAGTTAAAACAAACTTTAAATCATCAATGACCAGTATTGTGTTTAGGTTTGATTTCCAAGTTGTGTAGTTTTCGCCGTTTAATTTCTCAGAAGCGAGTAATTGTACTATTGAGTTTGTCATGCTG